TTCAAATAAGCAATCTAATGATCCACTTCAGGAACCAGTAAAGCAAGAACAAACCACCCCAAATTAGTAGAAGGTGATAAATAATAAAGATCAAAGAAGAAATAAATAAAGTTGAGACTAAAAAAGCAATACAAAAAAGATCGACAAAATGAACATTTTTTTAAAGATAAAACTGATCAACTCCTAGCTAACCTGACCAAGGAAAGAAGTGAGAAGGCCCAAGCAAACAAAACCAGAAGTGAAAAAAGGGACATTACAACTAATACCACAGAAGTACAAAAGATCATCAGAGACTATTGTAAACAACTATACACTAACTGGAAAACTAGAGGAAATGGATAAATTCCTGAAAACATACAACCTACCTAGATTGACTCAGAAAGAAATACAGAACCTGAACATACCAATAATGAGTAGCAAGATTGAATCACTAATAAAAAGATTACCCAAAAAAAGAAAAATCCAGTACTAGATGGATTTGCTGCTGAATTCCACCAAATAGGAAGAACTAACATCAACCTTCTTCAAACTCTTTCCAAAAGTTAAAGGGGAGGGAAATCTCCCCAACACATTTCCCAAGGCCAGTATTACTCTAATACCAAAATCAGAAAAGGTACAACAAAAAAAGAAAACTATACGCTAATATCCCTAATGCACATACATTAAAAAATCCTCAACAAACTACTAGCAAACTGAATTCAACAGCACATCAAAAAGATAATACAACATCATCAAGTTGGATTTATACCAGGGATTCAAGAATGAGTCAACATATGCAAATCAACAAACATGATATAACACAACAGAAGGAAGGATAAAAACCATATGATCATCTCAGATGCAGAAAAAGCATTTGATAAAGTTCAACATCCCTTCATGATAAAAAGTCTCCAAACTATGCACAGAAGGAACATGCCTCAAAATAATAAAGATCATATATGACGAACCCACAGCTAACAACATACTGAATAGGGAAAAGTTGAAAGCCTTTCCTTTAATAACTAGAACAAGACAAGGATGCTCATTTTTAACCACTCTTATGCCACATAGTAATAGAAGTCCCAGCCAAAGCAATCAGACAAGAAAAAGAGGTAAAAAGCATCCAAATTGGAAAAGAAGAAGCCAGTCGTGGTGACATAGCCATTCTCAAGAGGCTGAGGCAGGAGAACTGCTTGAGCCCTGGAGGTAGAGGTTGCAATGAGCCGAGATTGTACCA